ATGTAGCTAAGGGTGATTATGCTTTTTAAAACATTAAGTAAAAGTATAACAAATAAAAGAGTTACTACATTTAAAAAGGGTGACTTTATGAGACGAAAGAGTCACTATATAATGTTACACAAAGACCACTATATTAATAATGAGGTTACAGGTTACTATTTCAAATATAAAGGTTACTATGTCAAAATTAAGGACTATATGTTAATTAATGGTGAAAAACTGACAATACAAGACTATTAAATAAAGATTACTATTTAGAAATAAAGATCACTATATTATTAAAAAAAAAAAAAGGTTACTATTCAAAAAATTATATATCTCAAAATTAAAGTTACTATGTCAATCATAAAAGACACTATATCATAATAATCAATACTAAAAGATTTAAGCGTTTTATTTTCTTGATTTCTTATTTGTTGATCATAGAAAACCTTGATACAAGGGAAGGTAAGCTATCTAAATACTCATCTGCCTGCTTTATCACTTGTTTTTTTTTAAAAGGCACTATACTATCACTAAAGGTAAATATATTACTTAAAACTACCTTTTGACCCGTTCGATGCACGGGTTGTTACTTAGGTTATTTTTTCTTGAAAAATGTCGTTGTTGTGTGAAATTTAGTTAGGTATATATACATAGATATTGTAGGGCATGAAATGACACATTGATTTAAGTTATATTTAAGTTTAGGAGATGAAAAGACCATTTTATTGTTAATGTAATGAACACTAATTAGTTTAACTTTAATTTATTATATTGAATATGAAACACTTAATTTTCTTACTTAAATTTGTAAGTTTTAGAATGCATAAAGATTAAAGACTCAAACATTATTTATATATTTTTCTTTTATATTAAATTGGGAATTTAAAAAGAAAGGATTAAGGGAGGTGACATGTGGCATGTGAGTGATTATGCATGGTGACATGTGGCTTAGTATAGATTTATGGTTTGTGTTTTTAAATAATAAGTTGTAGACACCCATTTTTGTCTCCCCAAAACCAAACCTAGTGATGAGTACCTTTCACGTCAAATCATAATCGAATGAAGTGAAAGTGTGAAAAGTCTAGTGTTGCGGATAGTTTTAATTTCTTTTCTCTTCTCTCTGTTTTTGAAAACTTATTGTAAGAAAACATCCAATCCAGTTTGGTTGGTCCATCATATGGGTCCAATAGTAGTGTAGTTGGATGGGGCTTGACAAGAGATTTCCAACGATATATTATAAGCCCAATTCCGATGAATATTGAGGAAGTTATGGCCAATTTACTGAACTGGGCCCGTTTTGAGCCTTATATGCGGCCCAATGATCTAAGGGAGGGCCTAATATAGATTTGTCCTTCCTAATGCAATTAGGAATGGCTTTTAGTCTTCTAGATTCTTCTAGAAGGTTCTTCTCATTCCTAATTCAATTAGCATTGATAAATTGACTTTTCAGAGTTTTAGTTAAAATCAAAGAGCATTTTTGAGGGAAATACGATTTTATCCTCCTGTACGGCAATTTTTATCTGATTTTAAGAAAACGCGTGATTTTCTGAATCAGCGCCAAACGCCAGCTGTAGCGTTTGGCGCTACGCCAGGCGCCTGGCGCCAATTGCCAGCGTTGGCGCTAATTCAGTTTCATGTGCGCCAGACTCTTTTTTGATATTTTTATCTTTTTGGCTGATTTTCATTATAAATAACGTCGTAAAAACTCCATTTTCATTCACCTACAACCAATTTTCATTCATCTATAATCATTCACCAACTCTCATCAAGGTTCTCTTGATTATTCTCTCTCTCTTTTTCTAAACTAGCCTTTTACATACAGAATTCCGCATTCATTAGATCTAGAAACACCTAGCCATATTCGAAGTTGCCTTCGCCCTAGACGTGAAAGATTTAATTTCTGAGGGTTTGGTCCCAAATCTCTATTTCCATTATTTAATTTAATTGTTTTGTTTATTATTTTCCTTGAAGTTACTAACGTGTGTATTTTGTTATTAGAAAGAGGTACGAGGCATCAAACTAAGTGGTTTAATGGTTTTTATTGATGTTATGATGTAGAGATCATGTTTAGATTGTTATTATGATATTCCTAGTATCATGTCTAGGGTAATTTTAATATCAAATATGATTAAAAGTACGATGCTTTCTATGTTCTTCCTAATATTTATGATTGTTAGTATCATGTTAGGGTTAAAGATTTGATTTTTATTGCTTAGTGACATGCTAGGGTTTGTTATTAATCTTGTTAGTATCATGCCTAGGATCTTGCTATGCTTTAACATGATTATTATTGTGATTAATATGATTGTTATTATGATGATTATTTTAATTATGATTATTTTTATTATTATTATTATGATTGTTATGATTATAATTTTATTATAATTATTATATATGTTGCTTGATACAATATATATTGTTATTGCTTGATCACACCTTTTATGCATGTTTAAAGGGAATTTGTACTTGTAATCACGCTTGATAAGATAATTAATAATCTTGTTTAGGGTTAATTTGATTATAATTCAAGTGATCGCCAATAATAGGTTTATTTATGCATTAAATTCAACCAACATAGATAAACAGGTTTAGGGTAATCCTATTGATTGCATGTTAGTAAGAAAGCGCACATGAATACGATCAGAATAAAGTAGAGGCCTATTATTAGGGCAGCAGGTTCAATATCTTTTAGGTTGGATTTGTACCTTCATCCCGAACCCTTATTTGGTTCAAGACCTTATGGAGTTGACGATCTCTTGGATCGTTAAGGGGTGTAACCTTCACCCTGTGAACGGTTTATAAGTTCCTAAAACTTGTTGGCGACTCTTTTGCTCTATCTTCTTCCCTTTTGGACGCCACCGTACTTTAGTGTATGATCACAGTGGAGTTCAAGCTAGGGGGTTAACGCTTGAAATTATTCCCTACATAAGTATAGATAGATATATATATGGATATAGATTGGCTTTGCATGTCTCCAAGACTCCAACTATTGTAACCCTATTTAATTTCCAATCAACATAAATTACATACAATTGGTTACAATTAATACGAAATTATACTTAAATGCCTAATTTAATTTTCTAAACAAACAATTGCAATTGCATAATCGCTTAATTTGCACAATTTAATCAAAATCAAATACAAATAGATGATCAGATCAGTAATTTTAATAATTCTTACCTTCGTAGTTGCTTTCAATTTGAGCTTCATCGTCGTTTGGATCGAAATTGATGACATTAATATCGAAGTTTTCTATAGTGCCCTGCATACTTCGTTTTAGTTCAATTTTGATTGATTGTATAGAAGAATTTGCCGTGAATTTTGCAGAAATTGATTGATGATGGAGAAATTAACAACCCTAGAATTGATTAGAAGGAGAGAGAAAATAAATTTGAGCTCTGAGATGAAGTTGTTAATGGCGTCGATGATGAAGTTGATTGCAAGGAAAGAGATTTCAACGCTTTTTCTTTTGTTTGGGGTTTTATGGGTTTAATTGTTAGTGGGCTGGGCTAAGAAGATTGTAGCATGTTTCTCTTAGTGGTTTTGGCACGTGAGACTTATGGTCCACAATAAGTTTATTGTGGACCAGGTCCACTCAAGATTTTTTTTTTTGTTAATAGTATTAATGGCCTAATTATTATGGGTAAATAAATGACAAGATTAGGGGTGGCAATATCATCCAAACCCGATGGATAACCATCCAACCGATCCAAATATATGGATGAAAACCCGAACTTAAGCGAATGACGGATGGATGATGGATGGATCGAGTCGAATACGGATGATGATACATCCAACCCATCACCCGATCCATCACCCAACCCATCCATCCACCCGTTAAATTTTATATATACAAAAATAAATTTAAATATCTTTTTTAATAATTTAATGTCTATTGTAGTGTTAGGAATTGACATTTGTTATAATGTAGTAAAAATGAACAAGTATTAGAAATATGTATCAAAGTTTTAATAAAATTAATCACTTTTTTTTTCAAATCTTGATTTTAATTATGAAAATGAAAAGTTATATTTATATATTTATTTCACCCGAATTATCACCCAATCCACCCGATTCATCCATGGATGACGGATGGATCGGATGTGGATTAAAAAAAAGGTGATGGATGGGTCGGGTGATGGATGGATCGTTGGTGGATGGAGGCGGATGAAGCATCACCTGACCCACCTCCGATCCATTGCCATCTCTAGACAAGATTTGCCAAAAATAGAGCTATGAGTCTATGACGTTTGTCGTGACATATGCCGTGACATATGGGACACATATTATAAGATTATCCTAGAAACAGCATAGATGCAATTCTAGAAGGTTCTCTTTTCTTAGCCGAATAGGTCAACCCTAGTTCCCAAACTCTTTATAAAGGTTCGATTCCTTCATTCATTCAATCATCGCGATGAAAACAATTCAATTAAATACATCATCTCCTCTCTTTGATCCCGAAAACACAAACAATATTTTTTCTTCCAAAGTTCCTTAATCATCAAAGGTAAAATCCTGAATTCCTCTTCTCAATCGTTCTATCTGGTTGTTTTTGCTTTAATTTGTTGAATTATAACTGTTATGGATTGTTTTGGTTCATGATTGTTTGGATTCGTGATTTGATGATTTTATCGTCAATCCCATTTGCATGTACCCGGTGTACAGTATTTTTACTATACATCGGGTTTTCGCACGTGCTTTTTTTAAAAAAAAAATCGCAGAATTTCAAATACCTAAAAATAAAAATAAAAACGCAGAACAACAATGGAGGAGAGAGAAAGTGAGAAAACGCAGCTATCAATCATCCATTGAGGAGAGAGAAAGTGAGAAATCGCAAAAATTGCAGAAAACGATCATCAATCGAGGAGAAAAAAGGTTAGAAAACGCAAAAATTGCAGAAATCGATCATCAATCGAGGAGAAAAAAGGTGAGAAAACACACAAATAGAAGAATTCGATCATCAATTAAGGACAAAGAAAGTGAGAAAACTTACAAATTGCAGAATTCGATCATCAATGGAGAATTCGACTTTCGATACAACAAATTGCAGCAATCTCATTCACGAATTGCTACAAAAACAGAGGCAAATTGAGACTGAATTTGAAATCGATTTAAATCGATCGATTATAGAAGAAGAAGAAACTAATTGTTTTGGAGATGAATTCGTACCAATATTCAACAATCCAGACAATGCAGATGAAGCAATTGAGAATGCAGAAGACGCAATTCACAATGCAGAAAATCAAGTGGTTCCTGATAAATCAATTGATTCAAATTCAGAACAAACAACCAAATCAGATGCAACTGAAAGTAATTTCTATGAATTTTTTAGATTGTATGCAAAAAGTAACCCTTTGAATACATAATTGTTACCCTTTTCATGCATAAACGTGACCATACTTATGCCTAAATGTTACCCTCAGATTGAATGCAGAACTTTTTAGATTGCATGCAAAAAGTAACCCTTCGAATGCCTAAATGTTACCCTTTTCATGCTTAAAAGTGACCCTATTTATGCTCAAATGTTACACTCATATTGTATGCTGAAAATTCAGATTGTATGCAAAAAGTAACCCTTTGAATGCCTAAATGTTACCTTTTTCATGCATAAAAGTTACCCTATTTATGCTCAAATGTTACACTCAAATTGTATGCTGAAAATTCAGATTGTATGCAAAAAGTAACCCTTTCAATGCCTAAATGTTACCTTTTTCATGCATAAAAGTTACCCTATTTTCAAACGAATGTTACCCTTTTTTTATGCTGTCTGTGGTTATTATCTGATTTGTTTGTATTAAATAACATATACAAATCCAATTGATGCTTATGGTTTAGATCTTAGAGGATCATTTGTTGGTATGGTAAGAGAAACTTTTGAAGAAATTTTGGAATTGTATGAAAAACATGCTGCTATACTGGGGTTTTCAATAAGAAAACATACAACTAGATTCAAACAACACACAAAAATAGTAACTGAGAAAAACTATGTGTGTTCTGCTGAGGGAAAGAGACATTTAGGTCAGAAGAAAACAAAGTTAGTTGAAATGGTTGATGAAGAGGATGTAAATGTAAAAACAAGAAAGCCAAGACAAGTATCCATTACAAGATCAAATTGCAAGGCATGCATAAGAGCAAAAGTGAATAAAGAAGGACAGTTTGAGGTGGTGGCTCATGTTATTCAGCATAACCACAAGCTAACAAAGCCACAGTGGCATTATTTGCATCGTTCTGAAAGAAAAATGACAGAGGAAAAAGTTGTAACAATCAAAACAATGAAATCTTCAGGTGTAACTACAATGGACACTTACAATTACATGGCTACAGAGGCTGGAGGAGAACAGAATATAGGCCATAGTGTTGTAGATCACCTGAATTTCTGCTCAAGGTTAAGAATGGAACAAATTGAGGCTGGAGATGCTCAAACTTTAGTGAACATTTTAAGTCAGGAACAATCAGAGGATCCAAACTTCTCTTTTAGAGTGAAGTTTAACAAAGAAGGAAGAATTTGCAATATCTTTTGGAGAGATTCAATGATGCTAGAAGACTATAGGATATATGGATATGTTCTTGTCTTTGATACAACATACAAAACAAACAGATATAATCTTATATGTGCTCCATTTGTTGGCATAAATAACCACTGGCATAATTGTATGTTTGCTTGTGCTTTTATTGGGGATGAAACGACAGATTCATTTGTGTGGTTACTACAAACCTTCTTCAAAGCTATGGAGGATAGAAAACCAACTTCAATATTCACTGACCAGGACCAAGCAATGGCAAATGCTATACTGGAGGTAAAAGATTTATATTGACATCTTACAGATTTGAGCTATGACAATAAAGTTTTCCTTTTTCACATAAAGTTACCCTTTTAGCTGCATAAAGTTACCCTTTTTAGTGCATAAAGTAACCCTTTTAACAGCATAAAGTGACCCCTTTATTTTCAATGCAGGTGATTCCTAATACAAGACATAGACTTTGTATATGGCATTTGGAGCAAAATGCCATAACCAGATTTGGAGCTCTTAAAAAAGACAAAGAATTCAAATTTGCATTCAACCAGTGCTTAAAGATGTGTGTGACAGAACAAGAATTCGAAGCAAAGTGGCAAGCAATGTTGCAAAAATATGAGTTGACAGAACACTCTTGGTACAAAAGAGTGTATGAGTTGAAAGACAAATGGTGTCCTGCCCTTTGTAGAGATTTCTTTTCAGCAGGGATCTTATCGTCACAAAGGAGTGAAAGCACTAATCATGTCATAGGATTCAGAGCAAGTAAAGCAACTACTTTGACAGAATTTTATACCATATTTAAGAAGACAACTAATCGTTGGAGAAGCACAGAGAAATATGATGAGTTTACCTGTAGCAAGTCAATAGCATTCACTTCATTGCCTCTATCTGGAATGCTAAAGCATGCCGCACAGGTAAAAAGTTAACTGACAAGTACATAAATTACACCTAATATATGGCAATTTAAATGAAGCTACATGATTTTGATGTACAGGTTTTCACTTTATCACTCTTCAGAAATTTTGAAGAGGAGTTTGGATACTCTATGGCAACAACTGTTTAGATGTTAGGCAGTAATGAAGAATGCCTACTTTATCAAGTAACACTAGAAGACAAGCCATGGTCTGCACATCAAGTAAACTATATACAAGAGAGCCAAACTGTATGGTGTACTTGCAAAAACTTTGAAGCATCTGGATGGTTATGTTATCATTGCATCAGAATTCTACATTTGCATTCAGTAACAAGAATACCAGACAAGTATGTTTCAAAAAGATGGACTAAGTTTGCAAAAACAGAGGCATGGGATAGGTTGAAGAATCAGGATCCTAAACAGCAATATATTCCATGGAGGCAAACAATGATGAGGAAATACTACAATCTAATCTTAAAAAGTCAAGAAAATGAAGAGACAAGAGCATTTATGGAAGAAAGCTTCAGAAATAGTCTTAAAATGGTGGAAGACTTACTTGCTAGTGCTGCTCAGAAAGAAAGTGCAGAAGCTGCTTCTAACATTCCTGATGTGGCAGACAACACTCAAAGCAATACTGACGCTTCTTCAGCATCGAGTACAAGCACATGTGTACCAATAATTCTTGATCCTAAAAGGGCTGTAACAAAAGGAAGAAGCAAGAGAGCAAAAGGAGGACTTGAAAAAAGCAAGTGAAAAAGAAAACCAGCACTGCCACCTCCAAATTCAGAATTTGGATCAAAGACACCTAACTTACGACTCTTTTAAGATCTTTTTTAGAACATTTTTTTTTCGAAATTAATATACCTTGTATTGTTAAACTATTTTTCTTTTGTTTTTTTACTCTATGACTAGTTTAATGAAAATGTGATTGACACTTTTATTAGCACATGTTTAATTATTGGAACACATCAACTTATGTTACCCTTTTAACGTATAAAAGTAACCCTTTTCATGCATAAAAGTAACCCTTTTCATGCATAAAAGTGACCCTTTTCATGCATAAAAGTTATCCTTTCTATCCACTAAATCAACCTTTTCTTTGGCAATAGTTACCCTTTCTATTAATAAAAGTTAACTCTTTTATCAATAAAAGTTACCCTTTTCATGCATAAAAGTTACACTATCTACCCACAAAAGTATACCTTATCATGTATAAACTTATTATTTCTACCCACAAAAGTAACCCTTTTTATGCTACAAAGTAAACCTTTTTATGCATGAAAGTGACCCTTTTCATGCATAAAAGTTATCCTTTCTATCCACTAAATCAACCTTTTCTTTTCTAATAGTTACCCTTTATGTTAATAAAAGTTACCCTTTTTATCACTAAAAGTTATCCTTTTCATGCATAAAACCCCTGACCCTTTTATTTTACAGAAAAAAGTGTCCCTTTTCATGAATAGAAGTGACCCTTTTTCTACATAAAAGTGACCCTTTTCATTGCTAAAATTACCATTTCTAACAATAAAATCTACCTTTTTCTTGCTTAAAAGTTACCCTTTCTATAAATAAAAGTTACCCTTTCTATAAATAAAAGTTACCCTTTTCTGCATAAAAGTTACCCCATAAAAAACATAAAAATAAACCTTTTAATTACTTTATGTATTCACATACATCAGTATTCCAAAAACAACTAAAGACTTTAAACTAAGTTTAATTACATCATTAAACTTAATGTATGCACATACATTAAGTTTTTTCATTGTTAAAAAAACCCCCTGAACTAATCAGCTAACAACTATCAATTATTTCACTATTTAGAAGGAGTAAACTTTTTTGCCTGCTTTTTTGCCCTTTTTCCTTTGTTCTTTTCCTCTTCTCCCTCTGCCTTTGCTTCTGCTTCTGCTGCCATTTTTCTTTCTTCTGTTTCTCTCTTCTTCTTTGCAGCAATTGCAGCCTTTAATCTTTCTTCAATTCCATTGATATAAGCAGGATCTTTCTTCTTCTCATTGAACTTGTGTAATTCTGACAACACATCGTTCCTAGATTCATTCAAATCACACAGTACCAGTGTGGTACAGATCTCTCCTCGTAAAAATTTCCTTCCATTAATCTCAAAACAACAAAAAAAATAAAAATTATCAATATGTAATTAATAAAAGCATTAGAAAGGAAAAAACTACAGAAACTATATACATAATTACTGTTTTGAGATCATTAAATTTGAACGATTCACCAACAAAATGGAGCATGTGATACATGACAAAGACCCCACAATCCAAATTGTCAACTTTTTCTTTTCTCCATTCCAACTCAACAACTTCAAAACCATAAGAAGGTAGCTGAGAACTCTTTGGATGATTTCTTTTGCCAAGAAAAGCACCTATTTGAACACACTGACATAAAATATAAAAGTTTAGAATACATTAAAATAAAAAAAGTTAAAATGGAAACAATGAATCAACAGTAACATAACAAAAAAAACAAACATAAACATACCATCTTTGAACACAATTCTTTTGTATAAACAAGAGCAGAATCAGTCCAGATAATGTTGTCAAGATAATATACCAACTCTTTTGTATGATAATAACATACAAAATGTAGTGATTCTCAATAAGAACAGGAAAATAGATCTGAAACAGCAAAATTAAAGAGATTTAAACAGAGCATATCATAAAGAGAACTCTTTTAAATTTATTACATTAAGTTTAGAATAAAAATACCAGATCAGCATCCATTATATTACATTCTGGATTCTCATAGCTAACCCAACCTTCCCATATGTCGTGCAAATCCTTAACAGCACTAGATATGTTACCTTTGCCAATATTGTCACAAACATGCAAGAATGAAAACTATTAAAGTATAAGATCTCAATAATATATATATAAAGTAAATGTGTTAAGATATAAAAAAAGGAATGAAATAACTTACACTCTGCCTAACACCAAAGAAGAATTTCCGAGGACCAGTAGCCTGAAAACATGCTTTCTCATTCAAATACAGACAGAAGCAATCAATAACGCACCATCGAATCCTGAGTGGAGCAACAAGGGACACCATGTCTTCTCTTGGAATTAAAAAGTTCATTCCAAAAGTAACAAGGCTTTCACTGAAACAATAAAAAATAAGATCAACATTAAAAAAAAATATATAAGAAAAAAAACAGATAAAAAAATAATTATAATAAAAAAGGACACTTAACTTCTTATCCATTGAAACATCCTTCAGCAAACAATAATCGAGAATTTCCAAATGTAACTGAGACAAATTCTTGAAAATCTGAGCATTGCTCTTTACAAAAAGAGTTACAAAAGGCACCTGCACACCTACATGTCCACAGTCCAGAGAGCATAGAGATTTATTTGCTCTGAGTCGAGGAGGTTCATTTTGATCAATATGCCCGACAGGAATATTTTGAGTAGGACCAGGAATGATAGCAGAAGGTCCAGAACCATTAAGGCCTTCATTAACTATTTTTCCATGACCATTGTCATCATCCTTAGGAATATTTTCATTGAAACCTTGTGCAGGTTCTTTTTCAGGAACAAAATCTTTGTTACCTTCTGTAGGTTCATAAAAACTGCGAAACATATCATGTACAGACTTCATTTTATTACACTCATCAATTAAACCATCTAAAATCTTCAAATAATGAGGATCAGAGAGTAGCAGTTCAGTTTGAGAAACTGAAACAAAATCATCAGAAGATAATGAAACACTTCTGCGAGAAGTAATCAGATCATTCAAGGTTTGAAAACCAGTTGACTGAACAAATAATAAAACATCCATATTTCTTTTAAACAAAAGAAATGAACAACCTACAAACATATGAACAATGAAAAAAAAATGTTACAAATAAAAATAATAAAATAAGTAGGAAATCTAAATATATGCTAAAAGTGACCCTTTTAAATGCATAAACTGACCCTTTTAAATGAAAAAAGTTACCCTTTTGTATGAATAAAGTAACCCTTTTTAACTTAATATTGAAGATAACTTTAATGCAACTAAAGGGTAACTTCGGTGCAAATAAAGGGTAACTTTGGTACACAAAAAGGGTAACTTTTGTACACAAAAGGGTAACTATTGTACACAAAACGGTAACTTTTGTACACAAAAAAGGGTAACTTTTGTACACAAAAAGGGTAACTTTTGTACACAAAAAGGATAACTTTTGTAAACAAAAAGCAATAATAACTAAACATATAAGAAAACAGAACACTTACATCAGTTGAAATTTTTTTAATTTCTTCATCGGTCATAATACCTTCTGGAAGCTCAAATGCAACAATGCGACCAGTGGTACCACTTGTAGAAGGACCCTTATCATAACCCAAAGTAGGAGCTTGCTTAAAAACAGTTCCCCTAAAATTAAGCTGTGACACAGGATATGTAATAGTATCCAATGGTCCCTGCCCATAACCACCAGCTTTGATCTCTAACTTAATTCGCTTCTTAATCTTTACATCCGTCCAATGTTGAATTAAAGGAAGAGTACTACTTTCCTTTTCACCTTGAAAATTTAGACGATGAAAATACATAATTTGCAAAGCCAGCAAACAACCACTAACATTTTGAGCATTTTCATCATCCTTATACTTCTGAACAGCCTTCTTTAACTTTTTTAAAACATATGAACACCAATCAAAAGTTTTAATTTCATCAACTTTTTCAACAGCTTTCAGCAACTTCAATGAAACAGTCCTATTAGTAGTAGGAGCTAAAAAGCTAGACATAGCTTGAAGAACAAAACACCTCTTAAATTCTTCCCCTCCATCAACCAAATCAACCATCCTAGACTCCAATTTTGACAAATGAAGAGGTTGCTTACCAGAAAGACCATAATCAGATCTCCATGCCTGAATGATACGTTTATCTACACTTTCATCTTCAGAATTTTTATTAAGTTCAGGAACACAAATATCACTAAAAGGCAAGCAAAACACATCGCATATATCATTTCTAGTAACAACAAATTCTTTACCAGTAGCGATGGTAAACATGCAGCTACCAGCATTGAAGTTTTCAACAAGCCAAGGTAGCATTTGACGATTAAGAGTTTTCAATTTAAGATGTAATAAACCTCCAAAACCAATTTCTTCAACAGCCTGTTTTTGCTCAGGACTAAAGTTCTGCAGCAATATTTCCAATGAATAGGGTCTACATCTTGCAATGATTCTTCTTTGCTCCCTAAATAGAAAAAAAAGAAAGAAAATGTAACTAAAACAATATAAAATAAAAACAAAATATAATTAAAAATGTAATAAAAAAATATGTATACTTACATAAAAGATTCAGAATCAGATTCAGAAATCATTTCATAATCAGAATCTTCCACTGTATTAGCTTTCTTAGGTACAATTTTGGCCTTCTTAGGAACTATTTTGGCCTTCTCAGACTCTGGTTTGTCACTCTCAGGAATTTTCCCAGCCTTTTTAGATATTGCTTTGCTCTTCTCAGGAGCTATCTGGGTCTTTTTTGGTACTGGTTTAGGCTTAGCAGGCTCTTTAGGCTTTCCTTTTCCTTTTGTAGGCTTTTTATAACGATAACCACCTATTGAACCACCTGTATTTAATTATTAAAGTAATATAAATACAAATTCAGAAATTACTCATGGAAAAATATAGAATAATGTGCACAAATGACACTTTTAAATGCATAAAGTGACCCTTTTAACAGCACAAAGTAACCCTTTTAACAGCACAAAGTGACCCTTTTAACATCACAAAGTGACCCTTTTAACAGCATAAAGTGACCCTTTTAACAGCATAAAGTGACCCTTTTAACTGAAAAAGTTATTCATTTAACAACATACACTGACTCTTTTCACAGCATAAAGTGACCCTTTTAACATCACAAAGTGACCCTTTTAACAGCAAAAAGTGACCTTTTTAACAGCATAAAGTGACCCTTTTGTATGCAAAAAGTGACCCTTTTTTTGCAAAAAGTGACCCTTTTAACTGAAAAAGTTAATCATTTAACAACATATAGTGACTCTTTTAACAGCATAAAGTCACCCTTTTAACATCATAAAGTGAACATTGTCAAAACATATAAATGACACACATGTCTATTACTCAAACACAATGAGCAATGCATATATGCATGTTAATCAAACACAGATGCACAAACACAATGCGAATATGCCTATTATACACATAATCTAACTAAAACATAAAACCTAAACAAATAATCAGTTTAATTAGCATTCTCTGACTAAAACCTAACATACAAAATTTGAAGAATAATAAGCAAAATTTTGAATCAATTATATGCAATGAACAATAAAATAAAGTAAAATTAAACATAATAACTTCATAATTCAAATTCAATTATCATAATATGCATAAAAAATCAACTGAAAACTATAAAAAATAACATGCACTACTAATTCGACATATATAAGCGAAATTTCAATTGAAAAATTTGAAAAAATGATGAAAAATTTAAGTAAACACACCTTCTTCAGCATCTACAGCCTTCTTTGTAATCTTCTTCTTCACCATTGCAGAATCAACACTACGAAAATCGAAAACAAAATCAAAATCAAAAAACCTAAAAATCGAAGAATCAAAACAATTTAAACTAACAAAAATCTCAAAAAAAATAAGTAAACGAACCTGAATTAAGCAAATAACAACTTCACCAGTGAAAAAGAAGAAAGAAAAAGCTCGAAAATCAACAATGGAGGAGAGAGAAAACGCTCGAAATCGCCAGTTACTTGCTTTTTAGAGAGAGAAAAACGAAGAGAGAGAAAGCTATAGTGAATGAATGAAGAGAGAAAAGTTCTATTTCTTTCTTTATTTTGGCAATCATTAGGAAGCACGTGCCAAACCCACTAAATTGGCAGTTGATGCTTGTCCAAAAATTCCGCCATTCATTAAATTAATGAACACCGGTTTTTTTTTTAAAATTTGTGTTTTATCGTTGGCTATCGTATTATTATGCGTTGTTTATCTCTTTCTTTAATTTTAATTGAAGCAATTGATTTATTTGATTGAATTTTGAATCCTGAATTGTTGGTCTCGTCGACCTAAAATCTGAAAGTTGTTTGTCGATTAATCTTGGATCTAATTGATTTGAAATACACCCGATTCTATTTCATGAATAGATCTGCATATATAGCCGCTGATTTGAGATGCTTTTCTCTGATTAATATTTTTCTGGCTTTCAATTGCTGTTTGTTGATAATTTTCTGGCTTCGAATTGCTGTTGTTAGTAATTTTCTGACTTTGAATAGCTGTTTGTTGTTAATTTTCTAGCTTCAAATTGCTTTTTGTTAGGTCTAATTGTTTTACAATTCATTGAACTTCTTAATTTTCCACACAGCATCTTTTTAGGGTTTTGTTATTCGAATTGAGTTCGTGTTATAATGGTCGATTGTTATTATTTAATTAGGTAATTAAATTTCTGTTAGGTATTTTAGGGTTATTTATTTATTTATTTATTTAAAATTTATTTATATATGCTAAGCTCTATAATTGACCATTGATTATGTATATTGGATTATATATTGGATTATTACTTGTGTTAGCGATTATCTGAGATTGATGAATATAATCTGTTATGGCTGAATTTATTGCAAGCATTGCTGGTTTACATATGTTGCTTTGATTGGGTTGATTATAGGTAATTGTTTGGTTTAACAATATGATCAGTCCAATATAATCCCTTCTGTGCAATTATTGATTTGCTTATGATTTGTCTGCAGATGCAAATCTTTGTTAAGACTCTTACCGGCAAAACCATAACTCTCGAGGTTGAGAGTTCTGACACAATCGACAATGTTAAGACGAAGATTCAAGATAAGGAGGGAATTCCCCCAGACCAGCAGCGTCTGATCTTTGCTGGAAAGCAGCTGGAGGATGGCAGAACACTCGCTGACTACAATATTCAGAAAGAATCGACCCTCCACCTTGTTCTCCGTCTTAGAGGGGGGATGCAGATTTTTGTTAAGACCCTCACCGGGAAGACTATCACCCTTGAAGTTGAGAGTTCTGACACTATTGATAATGTCAAAACAAAAATTCAAGACAAAGAAGGTATTCCCCCAGACCAGCAGAGGTTGATCTTTGCCGGAAAGCAGCTTGAAGATGGCCGCACCCTTGCTGATTACAACATCCAGAAGGAGTCGACACTCCACCTTGTTCTCCGTCTAAGAGGTGGCATGCAGATCTTTGTAAAGACCCTCACTGGGAAGACTATCACCCTTGAGGTTGAAAGCTCTGACACTATTGATAATGTTAAAACCAAAATCCAAGACAAGGAAGGTATCCCCCCAGACCAGCAGAGGTTGATCTTTGCCGGGAAACAGCTTGAGGATGGCCGCACTCTTGCTGATTACAACATCCAGAAGGAGTCGACCCTCCACCTGGTTCTCCGTCTAAGAGGTGGCATGCAGATCTTTGTGAAGACCCTCACCGGGAAGACTATCACCCTTGAGATTGAAAGTTCCGACACCATTGACAATGTCAAAACCAAAATTCAAGATAAGGAAGGCATTCCCCCTGACCAACAGAGACTGATCTTTGCTGGAAAGCAGCTTGAGGATGGGCGCACCCTTGCTGATTACAACATTCAGAAGGAGTCAACCCTCCATCTTGTACTCCGTTTAAGAAGTGGAATGCAAATATTCGTCAAGACTTTGACTGGGAAGACGATCACTTTGGAGGTCGAGAGTTCAGACACCATTGACAATGTCAAGGCAAAGATTCAAGATAAGGAGGGCATTCCCCCAGATCAGCAAAGGTTGATCTTTGCAGGGAAGCAGCTCGAGGATGGGAGGACCCTTGCTGACTACAATATCCAAAAGGAGTCTACACTTCACTTGGTGCTTCGTTTAAGAGGAGGAATGCAAATATTTGTTAAGACCTTGACTGGGAAAACCATCACCTTGGAGGTTGAGAGCTCAGATACTATCGATAATGTCAAGACTAAGATATACAGGACAAGGAAGGAATTCCACCAGACCAGCAGAGGTTGATTTTTGCTGGTAAGCAGTTGGAGGACGGGCGCACTTTGGCAGACTACAACATTCAGAAGGAATCCACCCTTCACCTTGTCCTTCGTCACCGTGGTGGCTTTTAATGATGTCTGGTTGAGATCGCTGTGGTTTTAAGCTTTTGTGGCCATTGTTTTTACTTTGTTTAGTAATCCGTAGCAGAGGTTTCTTGGAACAATATCTAATTTCCGTGTTCTTTTTTTAGGCAAGGTTGCCCTAAGTTCAGTTTGTTAATAAAGTACTCTTTTCGTTTTCGTTATTGTTGTTCCTCGGAACAATACAAGTACTAATTGTTGTTACTGTTTTTAATCCTTGAAATTTTGTGTTGAAAAAGATTACTTTGTGCTTAACTCCCAGTGAGCATTCATGTTCCTTCCGGATCAACAGAAGGTGTTTGATAAGGGACTATTGGAAATTAGGATTGAGTGAAACGTGAAGTGTTTCTTGAATTGGGCAACTAATATTAAATCAGATTATGTTTTTGGGTCTATAGTATTAAAACTAATGTTGATTTCAGATGTCTTTAGTAGCCTACCTGATCTTCAAACTTTTGGTTATGGGTTATAATATGTTCCATGGAGCAATTCCTAAGACATTCGCCTCTTTGAAAAGTCTCTTAGTAGTTGATCTTCCCACGAATTGAACAATCTTTATGGAACATTCCTGAATATTTTTCTACCTTAAAATAGACCCGGTAAATGTATCACTCAAAAAGTGAATTTATCATTATAAAAAGTATCAAATAGTAAATTACATCATTTAAAAGATGATTTTTAAATTTTATCATCCTAAAGATAATTATATAACTCACAAAAATATAATTATATTGTCTAAAAAAGTGATTATATCATCCAGAATGTGATTATATTATTTGAAAGTGTCAAATTTTAGGTCTACAAGGCTAATTAAAAGGCGGAGAGATTACTTTGTTACTCTAGTTTTGATAATTATATTTTTTTTGACGGAAATTATAATATTAATGAATATAAACATTTACGTATTTTCATATTCATTACTATGTCTGTTGGTTATAATAGGCTATTAATTCGTACATCATCCGTTTTTTAATAGTTGCAAGTTTACAACAATTGCTCTATTAATCCGTGTATCAAGATATAAGGAATTTTTTTTAAAAAAAAACACAAGATTTTGGATGTTGTCTGATACTGTCATACTGATATAACCCAAAATCATTATCTTGTTTCTATTCGTCAAACTTTTTTATTTTTTTTATCTTTATTTATTCTATCACTAAATTAAATCACCATAAAAGAAAAATAACGAAAAGGATAAAATTCTTCCTTTAAACCCACCAAAATCGTTGTTTCTAAAAACTTAATGGCTTAAATTAATGGGCAGTTCCCACATCAATATGCTACATTAAGAAACCGCAATTTTCTTTGGTAATTCCTGATTGCGATTAGTATGTGTTTAGTGTTTAGGACTTGCTGAGCCGAACTCGTACTCTTTTACGTTTGTTGCAGGCCTTGCAGCTGTGCCAAGAACGATGGTGTTCAAAAATGATGAGGATGGAAATAAACAACTTTTCGGCCTTAATGTACCAATTTATTAAAAAAAAACACCCATATATGCACAATTATAACAGCAATAATATTGATCCAACAATGTGAATAGATAACATCAAATACAGAAGTGGACATTTTAAAATAAACTAGACACTATTTGGACATTTATCCACCTATATTCAACAAAAATGTACAAAATAAGGTGCCATGATTCTAAGCAAAAGTCTAAAGAATGATACAAGCTTCTTCTCCGCCTCATTTTGCATTTAGCTTCCATGAATATGAACTCTATGAGAAAATTCCATTGCAATACCTACAATTTCAAGTGAAGAACATGAATAATTGAACATTATAGCAATGCATCATTACAAGTCCCATTAGTGTAACATGAAAGTGCAAATATGGGACTTGAAAATGAGGAACTTTATCTAAAGTATTTAGTTCTGCTGTTAGTCAAATTTAAAGAAGCCCTCGGACACTACAATGAACTATCACCATGACCAATGAATGGCCAACAAAAGTAAGCAGCCAACGCTAATGAACCACTGAGAAGGCTACGCAAGACAGCCAAAACAGGGATGACTAGCTGAGGGTATAATACTTAATGATTCGTGAAAGACAAAATATATCCACTCCAACCTTGCCTAACTTGTACCAAAAATAAGTTAAATATCCAAAAAAGAATGAGAATATGTTCCAAGTAGCAGAGAGAAAAACAAACTAAAAACCAAGGTAGGCCGAGAAGGGAGTGACAGCCTGATAACGCAACCATTGAAACAAGTTTGAGAATCATAACATACAAAAAATACCAGTCTCCATGGGTTAAAAAATTTCACCTGATCATTTCAATTGTTTTAGCCGCCCTCTCACAGAAAATTTCTATATTATGAGCCATACTAAACCAGCAAGACATACAGGTTTCTTGCCTACTTTAGGATGCATTGGAAGGACACTTTAATACAAAATGGTGAAGCACTACTCATCGAGTCTATGTGATGTAGATTCTTCTTTTCACCTCAAGTATCTGTGCCCCACCATGGGTATTCGCACTAGAATCATATTCACATCTGACATAATAACTGGAGTCCAAGTAACATACTAACGATGCTAGGATAGTTTATATTATTAAGTAATGCATATGAAACTAAAACCAAAATGCATCCTTGAACTCTATCATCCAGTAAGATCATCAACATAAAATTAAGCTTACTTGCCTACCATTTAGTTCCTTCAATGAATTGTTATGCGCTAAGTGATTGAAAAAATGTGCGACTTGATTAATCACATCCGATGGTCTAAATATTTATGTAATTCAAAGTAAGGTGGCCGAATGCTAATACCCTGCTTTTGAAAATAGTAAGACACGAAGCTAAATCTTAAATAAAAAGGAAAATTGTCAAGAATAATACGACCTTTCGCTTATCTTCCAAAAATAAAACGACCTTTTGATTATCCCAAAATAATATGACCTTTGATGGGCATCCGCTCAAAATAGAATGAAAAATTGGTAATTGTTTTAATGGGTCAACCATAACACATGGCACATTTTGATTGGTTAGGATGTACTCCCTCCGTCCCTTAAAGAACGACCCTTTTAGGCTGATTTTGCAGGTATTAAGAAAGTTAAATAAAAAGAACTAAAATTGTATTGGAAATATAACTTTACATGGGGTTTATAAAAAAATAGAGAGTAATACATGAAAAAACAAAATTGATATGGGGAAGCTAATTTTGCACAAATATTGTTGTAAATTGGTAGGTATTTTAATGCAAATGGGTCAATCATTTTGGGACTAAAATTAGGTTAAAAGGGTTGAACTTTTGGGGATTGAGGGAGTAATATTTAAAATTTAAAATTTCCTTTTTAACAAAATGGATTTTAACTTTATTTTTTCAATAAAAAATAAATCTTCCCCCATCAACCCCTCCCTTTCTCCATCAACTGTCATACACCTTCCCCTCCCCCTAGGCCCCTACCTACTCATAACTTATCAGTCGTCACTCCTCACCCAAATACTAGCACTTCCCTCGTAATCACCCCCTTCCTTTTCTTAGTTTTTTTTTCCCCCTTAAACAGTGGTTGAAGGATTTCAAGCGTAAGGGGGTGGTTTTGTTGGTGAATCTGTTTTGGGGTTTTCGAGGGTGGCATTAGGAGGCTTAATGGTGGGTAGTTTTGTTTGACGGAGGGGGAGGCAGCTTGTGGGTGTTTGTGGGATGTCGTTTGTGTGGTGATGAATGAAGGATGTTTGACAGTGATGTCGTGGCTGGGGGCAAGAAAGTTGTGCGTAAAATGGTGCGCTTGGTGGTGCTGTTGGACAGTGCTCCTGCAGGAATTTATAGAGGGAGAAGATGAAAAGGGGAAAGGTGGAATCAGTTTTTTAATAGTAGTAAAAAAAAAAATTAAAATTATTTTTTTAAGAATTTAATTGTTAAAATTAATTTAAATGCTAATTTTTTATATAAAAAAAACTCTACCCAATCAATATATGACACGTGTCCTAGTTAACTAATTGAACAGGTTACTACCCGGTCATGTTCTATTTTGAGCAAATGCCCATCAAAGGTTATATTATTCTGGGATAATCAAAAGCTCATTTTATTTTTGGGAGATGGGCGAAAGGTCATATTATTCTTGACAGTTTTTCCAAATAATAATTAAAAAATTACCTGTTGCTGAACTTTTCAATGGCATCTGATGCATAAAGAAGTGTTTCGTTGGCTTTCTCCAAAACCACATAGAGCTCTTTTCCTCTCAATATCCGAGCAACAACCCATGAGTTATTTTTGGCCCTGATGCACACTTCCAGGTCTTTATCATGATTTACATCATCATCTTTAGTTCTACTCTTTTCCATGTCAACCTCTTCCCTCAGCTTGCACATTGCAACCAAAGATTCCTGGAAATACCAGATAGAATTAAACGAAACAGTATGATTAAAATCAAAACTAACCTCATATATAACGCTATGCATAATGGACAGATGCTATGAATTCCACTGTTACTCATATTGTAAGCTTTGATTGGGGTGTTATAATATATTTTTTATTTATTGGGTGGGGGGAGGGGGGAGGTAACTTAAGACAAAGTAAAAGTTATGGGTAAAAAATACTCAATTTAAGTGAATGTAGCAAATTTGTTAGCATCAGAAGCTACCTTTGCTAAGGTTGCAGCTTTTGCTGCAGGAGAAGCCCTGGACACGCATCTATCACCATCCACTAACAGATACCGATAACCACTGACATGGTACGCATTCTCACCTCCCCAACCTTTTGCAAGTTTTTCTTCAACTTTCAAGATCTTTAATGATGCCTATCAGATTACATAAAATAAACAACATTAAACACAAAGAATTTCGACAATATCAGCATAAGGATGACCTTTAAACAAAATTTTTTTTAAAGAAGGACAAGTCAAAAGCACTAGATTTAAAATTTTATAAGATTACCAAGCTAAATAGGACCAGAAGGAACAAAATTATAGGGGATTAAATAAAAAAAAAATAACTTAGGAGTAGATCTACATATATGTATGGAAAATTGCATTAATGAACAAAGACACAAACAAAGACACAGTAAATAAATTAATACCAAACAAAAATAAAGAACTATAATAATAAGCAAAGTAGCAAACTACCGAAACATATGGAAAAAGTCACTGATTGCATAATGCAGTATAAATGCTAGCATTTTTTTTTTTTTGGCAACTGACAAAAGATATACTCATATTCTTTTAAAATACGGAGCAGAAATAGATACTAACATTCTCCAAAAGCTGCTGCTTCAGCACAGGTATCTCTCTTTCTGCATTATTAATAGAGGTGACAGGAATCAGAAGAATAATGGTGACATTTTTGTGCTGATGTGCACAAAGATACATTCTCTCTTTCGTTTGCTGAAGCAAAACAGTGAGGAATGAAGCATTCATATCTGATCCCCATTGGTTAGTTACAAGAAAACCATCCTTCCCTTTTGACCACTTGCCCTGCTGCAAAGGCCTTGCAATGAGATATCTACTTTCTCCACTAGGGGAGGTATCTCGTGATCCTTGAACTCGTTCTGTAAAAGTGGATGAAGTTGGAAGGATGGATCCTGCTGTAAGATGAGCAGCAGTATTTCCTTTGCGTAAATAGGACCATGAGCTACCACTGGCAGATAAAGCACGAGGAGTCATCCTTAAAACAGCATAAGTATATAAGTTGACAGTGTCATCCTGGAAAATCACGTTAGATATTAGCATTCTAAATATATTTGGCGTGCTGTGATGTACCCAACAAAACTTTTACTGAAAATGATAAAACTAAACAAATTGGAGTCAGAAAATACCGGACAAACAGAAGTTGACACCAACAGATCATGGAACAAGACAAGGGAATGGCACCCTGCACTTCCAGCACATGATTCAAGCACTCGTACTAGTGACTGCAAATTGCCCATTTCATTTAGGTAAGAGTAGGTAGTTACATCAAAAGGGGAGATTTAAAAAACAAAAGAAAAAGGGAACAATAACCTATTGTTCAAATTTATTTCGCATTTATTGGCAGAAGCATGCATATTTGATGATATAAATAAACAAGCCAATACTCCAGCATCAAAAACGATATTTAATACCCACAACAAACAAACCAAATATGAACGAATTGATAGTTACTCCCTCCAGCCACATAATCTTCTTGTGCTCCTTCTAAGAATGTCTACAAAAAATCTTCTAGTTACTTAAAATTATTATTATACCCTCTCAATCCATGTGATGTGGACCTCTCCATTCTCTCTCTCTCTGGAACTCTATTCATACTCTACATTCTACATTATGCGGATTCTCTTACCCACTACCTATTATTTACTTTTTATTTTCCCATCATATACTAAAAAATCAACCAACCCTACTAAATCCTAAATATGTGTGTCCAAATCTAACAGGAAGATAATTTGAAGACAGGAGTACAAAAAAATAATCCCCAAGTCTTGAAACCTGCATATACAGTAATAATTGTGAAGAAGTTGACACCCAAAACCAGAAAGTGTATGTAGTTCCCACATGGAACAACCAAATTAGTAAGGTGATCAGTATTGAACAAAATTATAGAAGACTATCTATAGCATCTCATACCTCATTTAAAAAGGGAAATCAAAAAACACTTTCGATGCACGCCATTATTACATCAGTCTGCATCAGTGTTACCGGAAACATGGTATGGACCCCTGATTTTGAACCAAATTTGATAGACTAATTGATAATACAACCCAATTAGGTAAACCCTGCGACCAGGTTCAACAAGCCTATGACCTGCATTGATGAAGATTTTTATTTATGATTCATTTCCATTCCTAGGTGTACTCAATTTGTTACGCGTACCAATTAGTGTTCTCGTTCCCGTATTCAAATCATATCATACCGCAAACCATGTAGCATTGGTCATTTGGTCTGCATACTTGCTTTTACCATATGTACATAACACTTTGCATAACCTGCATCGTTGAAATATTTTTAATCACAATTGTTCCTTGCATACCCAAATTGCTACGGGTACCATTTAGTGTTCTCAATCCCGTACCACGAATCCTATCATACTGCATAGCCACATACCATGTAGTAATGGTCATTTGGTCTGCATACTTGCTTTAGCACAACACTTTGCATGCAAGTAAAACCTGCACCACTTGTCAACGAAGCCAAAGGGTTTGCTACTTTAAGCTTAGAATTATAGCATTCCAAAACTATTGCAAGGGTTCAATGTCCTTTCTACTTTTTTTAAGAAATAATAGACCAATCAAGAATTTTACAATGTATGGCCCAACATGGACATCCTTTATACTTGCAGGTTGCAGATCTACCTATTTGACCCCATCTTTTTTCATTGGCTGCAAGAAGTTTCTGAAAATCTTCTGAAACTCAAGGACAGTAGGCCCATTTCTCTTGAAAGTTAAAAGTCATAGTTCCAGGTCAAATTAAGAAATTTCAAGAACTCAACTAAGTAACAAGGCATGTAGCATCAATACAGACAACAGAGATAAACGAGAAAGCTGATGAAAAACAGAAAATCAAAATAAAAAAACATATCGATGATTAATATCTATCAATTCTTATTTATAATTTCTCAAACAATAAGTCTGTGAATTTTTCCTTTTTTTAACAATCATTGCAGAAATTAAACCGCTAAAAAATATTTGAGGGTTAAAGGCCAAAGCTTTAGAATTAGACAAGTAAAAAGTAAATAAAAAAATAATTGATGAATTACCCATTACATAACAACAGGCAAAGAGGCCAAGAGGGTAGTGAAAGAGTCAAAGACAATAAGAGGTGTACTAATTACGTACAAGCTGTGTTGCATTCAAGTGTGAAATTTTTATCCATTTATTCAGTAATCAGTATTCCCACGGGAGGTGAGAAAGATAGAGCCTCAAAAAAAAATGTCGGATTCACTACTCAACCGTAATCTCAATGTTTGATGAATACTTGGAAGTTTGGAATGAATAAGTTATCAATTTCTTTTATGGGTAAACAGTTAAATTTAGTACCAGGGGACACAAATACACCCAATTACCATCCCCAAGAAGTAATGGGATCAACATACACTTTGGGACGTCCTGGGGAAGTATTTTCAACGTAATTGTCCCTTCCCCGTCTACAGTACAGGATACACTCTATAACAGGCGTACTCATGCTTCATAGGTAACAAGTGCCATTGGTCATAAACTTACATGCCCTGAGTACTTTACAGATTACAAGGCCATTCTATAGCCATTGACAATAATTTACATGCCTTGACTGCTTTAAAGATTACAAGGCCACTCCATAGGTAACAAGTGCCATTGATCATATATAAACATGCCCTGACTGCTTTATAGATTACAAGGCCACCTCATCCAGTGTGTAATTTCATGTACATATAGCATAAGTTATCGATGGTTCGGTTGAGCAGAATCAACCGATCATAACATACTGCAACCTCAGTCCCACAGGTGAGCGCAGCAAGCAAATGCTCAAACGAGGATCAGTCACAGCATCATACCATCTGATAGCACTGATGCCTCAAGCAAGGGGCCAACAAGGGAAAGGCGTAGGGTAAAATTAATGCACCCATAAACCTACCAATCAAACAGTCTGTACGCTAAAGCATAGAATAAAAATTGCAAATAACTGACTAGCTAGTAGCTACTAAACAGAGAATAAGTCAAAGCTAGGTCTCTATGATAATAATTTTGTCCATTGTAATCAACACACCTAAGATTTGACAAGCTGGTCATCTTTCAAGCTAGACCAAAATGCATGGAAAGAAGTTCCCGGTATAACATATAATCCTCAAAAAAATTTGGAGAAGAGTTTCCCAGCATTTGGAACTATTAGAGAAAGGAACAGCCAAAAAACATTTAGAACCTTGGGCACAAGAAACATGTCCTACATAACTTTTCAGGAGAACCCTTAATAAAAAAATAGAATTTGAAAGATATATCCAGAGGATCCTAATAGCAACAACAACAACAATCAAAGCCTTAATCCCAGAAATGGGATCGGCTACAACCAGGGTATACTTCCTCTTTGGTAGAAGAACTAGATAATCTTTAGCTTCATAGAAAAGAAATTGTTAGTGCTTACAGGCATGATTATCCCAGTTCCTGCACGGTAAAATACTAATTGATGATGATACGAAAGATATACAAAAGGATTTAATATATTCATGGTTGAACACATCAAAGTTAGGGCAGACAGGATTACAATTAGAGCTTTTGAATGATGAGGGAAAGCTTTAATGACCCCTATTGTTGACTTAACAATAGAGACCACAGGGAGAGCAGAAACTGTTCCTAAGCTGAAAAGATGGAAGAGACAGATCAGAGGCTCCACAGAGAGCAAGGGGCGTTGGCAGACTTTACGGATTGGATGGGTATAGGAGGTTTTTTATGACAGAAAGAAAGAAAGACAACAAGAAGTGTCGTTCAAGTGTCAGTTCAGATAAGAGATTGGTAATCAATGGCTCGGGTTCTTACAACTTTAGAAGAACCTTAGTGAACAACTGCACATGAGGCCACCTACTACAACCCCAAAATACCTATTCCTTCAATCGGGGTTGCATACAGTCCTAACCATCACTTGTATCCGCCACACTGGTCCACATTACATATGTTCATTCTTACCTTCACCTTAACCGATCAAAGTTCCTCATCTATCAATCTCTCATCTACTATTAACCCGTTTTGCCATCTGTATTCCAAATGAATGTTAGCCCCCATTTATTTTTTAGGTAAAAAGATAAAACTAAGCACTACTGATGGAATCAATAGAAAAAGTGAGGGAGACCAGCCATTGCAGACATCCTCTCACTCGTTGAACATCCTATTACAGTATTACACAAACACTATACATTTTATGATACATGCAAACATTTACAAAAGATTGAAGTAGGCAACTAAGGCAAGTAGCACTATATGGCCAGTTTTTCACAAAAATCATTATAGCAGTATTTCTAGAACTAGAAGTAAAGATTGGGCTTCTTTTAAGACTTCTTTAATCAGGTTTAATTAATTTTAGGATTACAATGATATAAGAGAATTGATTTGTCACTGCCTAGGTCCTAGAAAATAACAGGTGAGCTTTTCCTGCCAGATGATGCAGTACACATCACCTGTCACTGATTCTGGACCAATTTCTGATCCTAAGGCTGAGACAGATGATAACTCAGAATAAGATAAGCTACATTTAAAATACATCACCACCAATGAACAAAATAATTTAATTACATCAATCTAGGACGCATCAGATGAAGCAATAACTAACAAAGAGTTAGGAATCTCTTCAACTATAAAAAATAAATAACCCAATTACATACCTGAATTTCTATTGCAGCCTCACGTCCTACAGTCAACATCTGCACAGTTCCTCTTTCTTGTAAAGAATCATGGAAGGATGGTAGTTGGAGTTTCTTTCCAGCAAGGAAATCTGCCTCAAAGAGAAAATTTTAAGTGAGGCACGAGGGAAGCAACTTCAGCACTATGCCACAATGGCACAAATCCAATGAAGAATGACACAGGAACTTCAGCATTACCCCAGCAGCAGAAATCCAAAGCATACCGTTTTTGACATGCTGACAATTAGTAACTTAAAATAAATTTTTACAACTTAAGACAGTAGAAAGACAATCTCAATTTTATAAAAGAATCAGGCCTTACCAAACAGATAATCAGTGATAAAGGAGAATAAATGTGAGCGGATAAGTGCTCCAGTAGATTCCTTGTCAAGCATTGCTCTTATGGATCCATTGAACATTACAAACAGAGAATGCACTTCTTTAAGCATTCCCCTTAGGGCCTCGATACGCCATATACCTTCCAACTCCTTATTCTTTTCCACTACCTAGAACAGACAAAACCACAGAATAAATACAGTGGATACTGAACACACATAGTATATGAAGCTGTTGGATATTCAAATCTCCATTCGGTTGGCCTCATCGTGGGATGAATGCATTGTCCTTTCTCCTAATGCCCCAATGAAACCCATATATGATCGTAAAGTTATGTATTTATAATATGCTAGAGTAAAATGGCAGTAATGTCAGCTTTTCCTTTATTTTTAATCTACAAGTCTACCATATGGTAATATAATAAGCATGTATAATAAATTAATTTGATAAAACACATTTCCACTATTAGAAAGAAATATTCAAAAAATTTGTAACATTACACCAAGGGGTGGAGAAAAAAATGAAAAAAGGCACCAAGTGAAATCATATATATTCTCAATTGTGGAAAGATGGGACAAATTGACTATAAACCATGATAGAGGGAGTGTTTTCCTCTCTTACTCATATCCCTTTCCCCAATATCTCCAACAATCTAACTACAATCTGTCATCACCGGCATCTCCAACAATCAAAATACAATCTACAGGGTACAAGCTCTGAACCCAGTTCAGATATATTTGCATTCAACTTAAGTAGTTAAGCATTATTATCAGTACACAACAATTAAGATTATAACAAACAACAAATCAAGTCTTAGCTCTTAGCCTACCACAAGCTTCTAGAGATAGATTCCTCATCACCCAAGCAGAAACAAAGGCCCACCTCACAATAATAAAAGTCATACAAGTTAACTGGAAGGGATATTTATTAGTAAAAGCACAATATACATACCATCACCATCCAAACGTCAGGCTCTGCTTCATAGAAAACATGGGAATGCCTCTCAGCCTCAATGACTTCACAAGCAGCATCTGGAGAGAAGATTCTACAGAAAAGATAAAAATTTTGCTACTGGTGAGCAGAAAACTCTACACATACGATCAGATCATACTAAAAAATTAACACTCATCACATCAAGTTAGCATGTACATGCATTCGACTGCACTAACTTCATACACACAATCTCAAAAAGAATGTAAAAAAAAAAAACAAAACTCTTGAACAAATCAGTGGAGACATCAACAAACACAAACTCCATTTCCATTTTACTCCAAAAGTTAAAAAAATAAATAAATAAATAAACATCAAACCTCAAACAACTTTAACAATCAGCCTATACCCATTAACAAACTCAAATTATCTGTAGAAATGAACACCCTTCTAAACTATACACAATGTGGTCTACTTTGCAATTCCCACAATTATTTGTAGAAAAGAACACCCTTCTAAACTATACACAGGATTGCCTACTTCGCGATCTCCCCAGTTATTTGTAGAAAAGAATACCCCTATAATTATACAGAGTATTGCTTACTTTGCGATCTCCCCAGTTATTTGTAGAAAAAGAAAACTTCTCTAAATTATACACGGTATTGCCTACTTCGCGGTCTCCCCAGTTATTTGTAAAAAATAATACCCCTATAATTATACAGAGTATTGCTTACTTTGCGATCTCCCCAGTTATTTGTAGAAAAAGAAAACTTCTCTAAATTATACACGGTATTGCCTACTTAGCAATTCCCCTTTTATTTGTAGAAAAAAGAATACCCCTCTAAAAATCAGTATTGCCTACTTCGCAATCTTCCATTTATTTGTAAAAAAGAATACCCCTATAAATTATACTAGCACAGTATTGCCTACTTTGCAATTTCGAAAAGAATAACCTCTAAATTATACACAGCAATTTCCCCAGTAATTACAATCGTAATTACAATCATAACACACAAGGTAACAATCATCAAATACAATACACATGTCAATTCCGCAAACCAAAGCAAATTAGGTTGAAGCAAACAAGAAATGCAAGAGCATTAACTAACCTTGTGAAGGTGATCAAACCTTCACTAAGCCCAATCACAGAGAGTTGATCAGTCAATGGCAATTCGGAGGGATAGAAATACAGAATTTTTTCAACCTCTTCACCTTCTCGCTGTCCCCTTCGCAGGTCAAACACACACAATTTCACGGCGTCAGCTGAGATCGTCGCAGTTGAGTAAAGCCCCATTCTTCGAAATCACTCTTGCCCCAAAAATTATGCAAAATTCAGTAAATTAAACCATGAAAAGTTAGGGTTTTAGCGGTGTTGAATCTACTCCAACAAGGGAGGAAGATTATTAGATTAAGATTGATTCACAATCATGCCAATAAGAAATGAGAAATTTTTGCATGAAAGTTTATGATTTCAAAAGAAAAAAGAAATTTTGGCGATCTATGTTGCAATTATGGTTTATCGATCATGTCGCAAATACACTGCTACAAGCGAAACACCTACTTCACATTTAGTGGTTCTCACTTAACAGATTCCGTTAAGTGGTAGCAATATCTATAAATTTGAGATTTGGGTAATATATATATATATATATATATATATATATATATATATATATATATATATACTCCCTTCGTTTCTTATTTCTTGCAACAAATGGGGGTTGCACGGTACCCAAGTCAAAAGTTTTTAAGCATAATTGTTAAAAAGTAAGGGCATGTAAATAATGTATTAAGGAGAGAGGGTGAATAATTAATTAAACAACTAAAAGTCCAGCACCACCACCGATGAACGAGGATGCCACCCAGAACCACCAGCAACGAAAAGCTACCACCTAAAACCACCAACAAAACCACCTAGAAACCACCCAGAACCACCTGAAATCACCCAACAAAACCACTTCTACCCGAAAACCACCTAGATTTAGAACCCACGCCACCCACAACCACCATCCAGACCCACCACACCAAACCCACGAAACCACCAAAACCCCTCTTCCACCCCTGCGAAACCACCAACACCATCGACACTACCAGATTTTGACCCACCGACACCACCAACACCACCGAAAACAACCAGTTCTAAGACCCACGAAACTACCAAACCCACGCCACCAACCCCATGATCCTCCTCCACCCCTGCGAAACCACAAAAACCACCTTTGCCACCGAAACCACAAAAACCTACCGACGACCCACTAGAACCACCCGCGACACCACCAAAAGCACCGACGAACCACCAAACTCACCAACACCAGATCTGAAGCCCACTTAAAGGGTAGTTTGGAATCTATTTATATTATACTAAAAGACAAGCGCCTCAATGTGAGGATGACAAATGTCACTCTCTCATTGGCTTATCTTATGTATAAAATAAATTTATATAATTACTGTTTACATATTTAAGCATAGTTATTTTTGTTAAACTTCAAACAATAAAAGCAAGTTTCTATACATGCATAAGATTTTCATGATTTCCTAACATAAATATTGATTTAATTTTTTATAATAAATATATACTTTCCAATAATACAAATAATCCATAAAATCTTTCAAATCTTTATTTATAGTTAAGTTAAAGAATAATAACTAATTTGAAGCAATATGATTAAAGTGGCATAATTAAGGAAACAAATATTTCGTATTTTGAAAGGCTAATATTGTTTTTTTTTATGAAAATTAAATAAAATCGATAATATTTAGTTTGACGTCAATTATGAAATCAATACAAACATTTAAAAAAAAGCAGATGTACAATAAAATATTGTGCACCTATTATAAAAGCTACCCTGTAATGAATGAAAGTTATTTATGCTTTATTGATAAAAGTTACCCAAAATATCAGATGTACAATAAAATATTGTGCACCTATTATAAAAGTTATCCTGTAATGAATGAAAGTTATTTATGCTTTATTGATAAAGGTTACCCAAAATAATGTAAAAGTTTTTGATACAAAAGTTTTTAGTGTAAAAATTACTTTTATCGTTTGTTGTACTCCTTGACAAATACTGAATGTTGAGCCGAAATGTTGTCTTGGAAAAAAATACATAATCTTGAACATAAATTTAATTTTAATCGGCCTTCCAATGTCTTTTACAATGTCTTTTACAATGACCTTTTGTTTTTCTTGCATAAAAAAAAAAAAAAAAAAAAAAAAAAAAAAAAAAAAAAACTGAACCAATAACCAATCTAAACAAGAGGAATAAAAGTTAAATTGAATTAGACATTTGACGGAAAAGGGATAGATATAAAATATATTATAACTATTACTCAGGTTTTAAATTGTAATATTCGTATTAACAATGCAATTACTTATGAATTTTTTTTAGAAAAACTAACATTTTGAAATAAAAATCGTGCATTGCTCATGTACTATACTAGATATACAACAATCATGTGCAATAATTTATGTTGTTTTATACATAATAATACTTTTAACTATAATAGTATGTGTATATAATATAATATTTTTTATAATATAAAAAAGTATACGTATATAATATAATATTTTATAACACGTGTCCTCCATACCAAGTGTAGTTCCAATCACCACTACACCAATTGGTTGTTGGTGTAGTGGTGATTGAGACTACACTTGGTAGGGAGGACCAGTGTGCTCCCTTGCAACAACAATCGGAAGGGAGTGGAACCTAATAACCTAGAACTGATCCTCAAATCTAGATTAGCTCAAAGGGTAGTGAACCGGATAGAACACCCAAAACTCAATGCATATATGACAGAAATTAACTTATCCTTTATCTATCTTATACAAAACTCCAAAGTCTATTTTTTTTTCAAAATATGATAATAACATTTGTAAATTTTTGTTAATATGAAAGATATAAACCTATCAAAATGTATATATAGTTAAATTGTTTAATAACTTATATCGAATGCGTAGTTTTATTAAAATTATTTGCATGTAATCATTAAATGTGTTGGATGTTGTGTAGCTATGCAATGTCCAAAACTTTAGTTGAGCGACTTTGATTTAGTGATTGTACGGTAAAAACATATTGACTTCGATCTTGAAATCTAATAGTCTAATAAATTCTAAATAGAAAAATTAAAACAAAAGGAAATGAAAATAGTAAATGGCTTTAAATATTGAAATAAACATAACCTTTTAAATCAATTTAGCGAATTCAAAAGACAATTTTAAGGCATTTAAAATTAAATGGGGGAAAATATATGTAAAAAGAATATTTTTAGATATATAAATGTTCATGCACTATTATAAGAGTTTTGTTAACCTTTTTATAATTAAGGTAGGGATAAATCTTAGTAATATATACTCCGTATATTTTATTTATATAAAATTATCAGTATCCATACCTATATACGAAGTATTTGTGTCGTATACTATATTTAATCAGCTGTTGGTTATATATATGACTATTATATAATATATAGTTTTTGGCACAATGCTTAACTTAGGAAAATATATGTTCTGGTAGGTCAAATATAAGGTTATTATTGTGTCTATAGATTTAATGAGTGTGACGGGTAAATAAAACACGTATATATTAGATTGATTGTAGTTACTGATGCGGATGGTATGATAAGAAAATTTTAGTTTTTATTCAACGGGAGATATAAATAAATTAGTCCACTTCTTATATAGCTATGTGGAGTATTATTCAATTATTTTTCAATTTATAAAATAACATTATAAAAAATTAAAAGAAATTCAAATAACATAAAATACTATTCAAATAACGTTCCTTTATTTTTTTTATTGACCATTAGTACAAGTCCTTTAATAGTAAATGAATTACCTTTGTTTTTTTTTTATTTTTCCTACGGGTTTAATAATTTGATTAAATTTATAATCCGTGCATCGCACGGGCACTATACTAGTTTGATTATGAGAGATGAAGATGATAAAATGATAGATGAAGGAGGAGAGAGAGAGATAATGGGTTTGATTATTTTAGATAATCAATTTACTGTACAGTAAAGTTATAATGGAATATAATTATATGTAGCATTATGTGTTAAAAAATTTTAAGTAAGGGTATATTGGTCATTTTGACAGAAAAAAGTTTCTAAATAAGGAAAAAAATAAGTTTGTTGCAAGAAATGTGAACCACCTCAAAATGGCAAATCTTGCAAGAAATAAGAAACGGAGGAGTATATATATATATATATATATATATATATATATATATATATATATATATATATATATATATATATATATATATATATATATATATATATATATATATATATATATATTGGAAGGCTCATGTAAAAACCCTCCTCTATATAAGAACCAATCTTATATAAGAACCCATCTGAACCATAGAATTGGTGTAAATCTGACCGCCCAAAATGAATATGGTAGTAATGTCATTTTAGTAATTTTAGGGGAAACTTATCCCAACCCTCCCTCTTCATTCAACGCATAATCTTTCTCTCTCTACTCCTCTAGAGTCTAGCCTTGATACAGTTTTCTCTCTCCCCTTTCTCTCACAATTTTGGCAGCAAATTCGTTTAAGAAATTAGGGTTTACTTTCAGAAATTAAGGTTTGTTATTCTATTCTTATGATTACTATTCTTTCTTTTATTGAATTTATGTGTTCGATTGTGTTGATTTATATTATTTCTTTCATTTTTTTTGCGATTTTCTGTGAAATTTTTATTCGATTTTGATTTTTTTTCCTGATTTTATATGCGATTTTTGTTCGATTTCCTTTGCGATTTTTGTTTAATTTCCTTTGCGATTTTTGTTCCTTTTTTCCGATTTCTATTCATTTTTTTAGTTTCTTAGTTCCATCATTTATCTGTTCGAAAATTGCAATTCATCAGTTCGGTTTTTTTTTTTTTTATATAATTTTTGTTCGATTTAATTAGATCGATTTTGCTTAATTGTGGTTTCATAGTTGTCGGGATTAGTTTGGTTTTGTGTTTGGGCAGCAATAAAATTAAGCTAGGAATGAGTATCGTATAAACGCTTCCATGGAGTTTCATTTCCACTCAATTTTGTCTTTATAGGCAGCCATAAAATTAAGCTAGGAATGGGCAACAATTTACTCTTTTAATGTTTATTCTTTGATTGATATTTGGGTTCACTCCACATCATTCAGCTTAGTAACAAATTTAATGATAATGGTTGCTTTTAAGCAGACCTTGTGTTGTGTAAAATTGTAAAATGGGTGGAATCAATTGTGATTTTTGGTTAATATGGACTGATTTTCAAGTAGTGCAGGAACCTTTATTGAGGTGTTTCTAATGACTTTGATTATTACAGGTAACCTATATAATGAAGCTGAGTGAAGATCAGTTGTTGCAATTGCTTTCTGTCTTTTGAATACTGGCCAATCTTTCAGATATAATATCATCAAACTTTGAAGCAATAGCTCACTCGTATTTCTTGATATACGTATGTTTGTACTCATTGACATAGAATCACTATTATCATATCCACTTGGAACTTATTACTTTGTTTTTGCTATGATGGATATGAACATTATACTTCAAGAGAGTAGTGCACATGGAAATAGGTTAGTTTGATTAGGTAAAGAATTCAAGTGGTGCTA